CATAGATCTAATTTGCATATTTTTGGGAGGGCGTGGCCATTACTGTCAGAAGCACATCTACTCGTGTCTAGGTGCAATCCTACCAAATATGAACAAAATTGGCTCAATGGTTGGTGAGATCAAAGGAAATAACAGGATTTAGCTAATTTCATATTTTTGGGATAGGGTGTGGTCATATTAATAATAACCTAAAAGACGATTTCCGATGATAAGGAAGCTATTTTGAAGTTGAGTTTCTGAGGAATTGGTTCTGAGGTTCTGCAAAGTTGATTCTGAGTTCTGAAAATTATACACTACCGATCGAATACATTTGGAAAAACTTGTGAATCATAAATCAGGAGTTCATGAATCTGAATTTAACAGAATCAATTAGTCTGAGCATGCTCAGTTGCTCTGTCAGTGTAGTAGAGAGAGGTAATTTTGGATGAAAATCTTGAAAAAGACCCACTTAGGATTTTAAGATCTGGAAAAAAAAATACGTGCATATGTAACACAGACTTGTTCATCAACCTGCCAAGTTTCATTGACATCTGCTGCAGAGTCTCTGAGAAAATGTGAGAGTTAAGTTGCAGCGACTTGAAAATGAGAAAGAAAGTAAAACTAGTACTCCCCTTTCAGGCTTCGCCTGATTGGGGACTAATAAGAGTAACTTAAATGTGATTATCTGAAGCGCCCTCTAGCAGGCTGATGTGACTTGTATTTGACTTACATTTCAGACAAGATTGATAACTGTTTAAGGGATGTATATTAAGACTTTAACTACATACATTATCTATTAGTTATCTCCTATATATTCAATATTTGTGTATTTACAATTATTCATAATCAAATGTACATGTATTGCATAACTTTTCAAGTATGCTCTGCTACAATAAATTAATATTCTGTGATATTCAACTCCCAAGATCATATAATCATTACAAATTCCACCTTTGATCTATAAAAGCCAAAATGCAAATCTAGCATTTGATGATGCCTAATTCCCATGACAACAATACTCATTAATTGCACAGAATACTCAGCATCTTGAGTGGATATAATTTTATCAAGAAGCCAGTCTCTCTTATCCAGGACAATGAGTGACCTTTATTGAGTGTAATTGTTCTATAAATAATTTTTCTATTTATTTCTATTTATGAATTAAAACAATAACCATAACTGCAAATATAAGGTATTTGTTTTAGTTAAAAAATAAACATAGAATTTATAGTCTGAATAAGGAATAAAATCAGGCACAAGTTTTGTAAATGTGACATGCACATACTCAGAATTATTGAATATTATATTATAACATTATCAATA